GAGATATGGTGCCGATGGGAAATAGTTTCGGTGAGGGATTGCTTAATGTGACTTGAGGCATTTGATGCTTATGTGTGACTTCCTTGTTAATTGTGATTGATACACTTGTTGCGTGTGATTGATCTACTTGATTCGTTTGATTGTTGAATTGTGACTATTGAACTGTAATTATTGAGCCTTGTGAGTTGTGCATTGTAAAACTGCTAGGTTGGGCTAATTTCTATGAAAGTTGTAGTATGAGGAAGTTCGATTGGAATGTAAGGGGTATTCAATTTCTAGGTAGATGCCTTGTTTATTAGGTTGCACTCCTTATTTCTACACTTGTGTAGGTTCAGAGCCCGGTTTAGCGTGATCGTCCTTCTTCTCTTACCTTTTTAGGCTTATCAAAGGACTATCGAGAGTAACTTTTGTCATCCCGACGGGCCCTCTTTTCCTTTTCTTTAAGCTTTGTTCTAATTGAGAATCAAAGATTGAGACTTGTACTTATTTCTTAATTTCACACTTTATGTATTTAGTGGTTTGTACACGTGACAACCAAATTTTGAGGGTTTTAATAGAAAAAATAAGTTTTTCTGTTTTATCTTGTTCTTGTTTTATTATTTTCCGCATTTCTTTCATTTTCGATGAGTTGAGACTAACTTGTCTTGGTGGAAATATACAAGTGTCCTCGCGTCTATTTTTGGGTCGTGACATCATCATAGAGTAGTTCCTTAAATCATGATTCATACATGTGTGAGAAAACTATTGACCAATCAAGATTTCTTAATATGTGAGAAAACATTTCACAATTCATGCATATGTGAGAAAACCTTTCATCGATGCTTTTCTTAAAGGCAACCTTAATTCATAAAACTTAAGCATATAGCATGAGAGTTGAGTAATTTAAAGGAAAAAAATGTGTTTGCAACAAAAGTAAAAATTCATATCTTCTCAATAAATTAAATTAAGAAAAAGGAATAAAGAAGAATAAAGTATAGTGTTGACACTATACATCTCAACTTAGGTTAGCACATAATTAACACATTTAATCATCGTTTATAATGTTTTGAACATGTTATTATCATTTCAAAGTATATAGCCGCTAATAGTACTTATTATTATTATTATCAACAAATTAAAGAGAGGGTCTCCATAGGCAGATTTTTGATAGAATTTATTACTAGCTAATATCCCCAAGTTATTTTTATTTATTAATTTATTACATAAGATAAATTTATTTTATTTTCAAAATAAAAATCTCACTTTTTATGAAAATTACTTATAACTATATTCTAGATAACTTGATGATATAATAAGTTTTTTTAATATATATATATATATATATATATATATATATATTAATCTATGATATTACAAGTAAATATATATTTTTTCTATTTGAGCAACAAATAGAAAAAAGATATATTAATTTACACAATCTCAAAATTTTGATGTGAGGGCAGATATGATAAAGTTGATAATATAAGATATAACATTAGTTTTTGTTGGGAAAGGCAAGGCACTATCAAAGAATGCTCGGCAGGATAGCAGTGGAAAAATATCAAAGTCTAAACTTTCCCTTACAATTTGAATCAATAGAAGAAAAACTAAATCAATCAATACGAAGAATCGACAACAAGTATATCAATCAAACAAAAACAATAAGATAAGAATTAACCAATCACACAAGACACAAAGATTTACATGAAAAACTCTTCAATGTGAAAAGTAAAAAATCACTGGACCAAAAGCTCCACTATAACCACCAAGAGTTACAATATTGTTCTCCAAAATTGGCGACAAAAGAAGTGCCAAATAACGAGCAACAACGAAATAAGATTGCACCAAAACTAGAGAATTAAAGGAGAGAATCCACTAAAAAAGAGCTATTGTTCACACCCCAAAATCAGAAGCTACAGATAACTAAATCTAATCTCCACCGTTGAAATACAAGAATTATATAGTGAGAACTTCCGGTTCAAATTTGTGTACGATCCAACGGTTAACGAAGTGAAGAACTCTGTTTAAAGTGGACTGCCTGTGCAGAAAATTCCTTGAAGCAAAAACATGATTTTTCTCTCTCTCAATCTCTAAAACAACTCTCTTGACTTTTTTCTCTCATGTGTCTCAAAATAATACCTAAATAAGCCTTATATATGCCACATAATATTGGTATTATGGGTTAAAGTGGCTCGTCTAAATAAGACTTTTATTTATCCACACCGAAAAGAAAAAAGATCCTAAATCCAACAATTCTCCGCCTCATAACTATGTGGAGGAGACTGTCATCCTGGCGATCAAGCAACATTCTTTAAACTTCCCTCTTAGCAAAACTTTAGTCATCATGTCAGACCCATTTTCATTTGTATGAATTTTTTCAAGCTCAAGCAATTCAGAATTCAACACATATCGAATCCAATGGTACCTTACATCAATGTGTTTAGACCGATCATGAAACATAGAATATGAATAACTCTTTGACTGTCGCAATAAAGCACATACCTCTCTTGAGCACAACTAAGTTTCCCAAAAATCTCGTCATATAGATCAACTCTTTGCAAGCTTCTACAAATGCAATAAGCTCGGCTTCTGCAGATAAATCAAAGCATTTTTGCAACCTAGATTGCCAAGACATAGCTTCCCCTGCAAAAGTAATCAAGTAGTTTGAAGTAAACTCATGAGTACCAACATTGTCAACCATACCAGAATCAGTGTAACCACAAATAATAGGATTCCCTATACCAAAACACAAACTAAAAGTGCCACAAAGATATCTCATAACCCACTTCACTGCATTCCAATGTTTTCTTCCCAAATTAGAGAGAAAACGGCTAACAACAACAACAACGTAAGCAATATTCGCTCTTGTACAAATCATCGCATACATCAAACTACCAAAAACTGAAGCATAAGAAACTTTCTTCAGATCTTCCTTCTCATCATAACTAGAATGACACTGCTGGTTCATGCTCAATTTGAAGTGCATAGCTAAAGGTGCATTGACAACCTTAGCTTTGTCGATGTTGAATCTGCGAAGAAACTGGACGTTTAGTGGCAAAAAATGTCGCCACAGATTGCCAGAAAGTCGCCGCTAAAGATATTCAGTGGTGACATGACGCCGTGGCAAGTACTTCCATAACTAAATGTTAGTTGTGACGACAATGTGAAGTCGCCACTAATGACCATTATTTGTGGTAACTACAGTCGCCACAAAAGGTAATGGAATATGCTACAACAAAATACATATAGGGTAGGGTCGCCGCTGTAGTATGACCTTTAGTGGCGACTACTGCTGCCACTAAATCCATTATACCTTCAGCAATAACCTATGTCGCTACAATTACCTCATATGTTAGTCGCCACAAAAACCATTATACCTTCAGTAGCATGTTTTGTCGCTACAATAGCCTTATTTTAGTAGCAACATTAGTCGCTACTAATACCTATTTTTTCAACAAAAAAAAAAATATAGACACATTAATATTGATTCAATTACATATCAATGGCAAAACATCCAATATGAATACAGAGAACACAAAATACATGTCAACTCAAATATTTTAAATAGTACCGCCACCAAAAAGTCATTTAAATATACTCACTCCTACACAATATGCTTGCTATTGTATATTTTTTGCACTTACATATAATTAAAAAAAACAACATATGTAGTGTCTTCACACTCCTCCTTAGTCACGCCATTTGTAATTGTGTAAAAGTATTGTCCCTGTTATTAAGAAAAAACATAGAATTATTCTCATAATCTATAATGAGAATATAATAGAATAAGGGGAGACCACGATAATATTTGAGTTAAAGAATTCAAAACACTTTTAAGAAAATAAATAGATCAGTCATCAGCATGCTACATGACCGTATCTTCCACACAGAAAGAATTCATACAAATATTAATTGCGTAAAAGGATAAGCGTACAGAAGAACATAATGTTAGTGACTAAGTGGGCAACAACAATAGTAATGTTGTCTTAGACAGAGAAAAACAAAATTCAATTTACCTAAGCTTCCTTCGAGTTAGTCGGTTAATGAAGTGCCAAAGATAAAAGAAAATTAGTATGTAATAGTATTTCATTATTTATAAAGAAAATCGCAACAAATCTATTTTTCCCTTAGGAAACCATGATTTGTTTATTTCCATAGACGCACAATCTGAAGGGTATCCAAGAAAGAAATAAAAGGTAAATTGCAAGGGTCAAAGGCAATAAAGGATACAAAACTTTCCTAGCTGGCTAAAATTATTGTAAAGGAAGCCGCTGGTCAACAAGACATCAACAATGTAATTGAATCTTCTACTAATATTCCCAAAATGACAGTTACGATACCAAATGTGAAATCACTGAAACATAGATGCAGGTTAATATCAATTTCATCAATACGTCTTTTGCACTTCAGATCTAGAAGATACCCATGGCTATTATCACCTCAAATAGTGCCTCAAATCACACAACTTATTTTTCCACGTTCCGGCTTGAAAAACTTCAGTGCCGACTTACAATTTGATGTGCTGGTGCAACCTAGTAATTTTTCTTAAACCTACTAGTTTTGCTGTTTTCCTTTAGAAAATAAATATAGCAGATACTCCCTTTGTTTCAATTTGCTTGTCTTAGTTTGACTCGGTATGGAGTTTAAGAAAATAAAGAATACCTTTGAATCTTGTGGTGATGAACTAATTATGTGTAATGCACTAAAATTCCTTTTGAATTTCGTGGCCTTAAATATACCGTGTACAATATTGGGTGTAAAGAGTGACTGAATAAAGAGAGGCATTCTTTTGAAACAGATCTAAGCAAGATAAACAAATTGACATGGAGGGAGTCTTATTTATTGTCCACCTATCTATACATACCACCATAACACAAATAGGTAGTATTTCTTGTCCTACTAGATATGTAGATACCACCATAAGACACTCTTTCAAACCTACATTCTGCAATTCATGATGCAAATAATTCGACCAAACAGAGCAGAAGAGTGTTATTCGAACAAGAAATTAAACTTCCTACCTGTTGCACTTCATTAAGGTAATGAGCATGATCAGATGCAGCAGGGCATGCAACTACAACAATTATGAAGTTGTGTAACCTGCATAAAAAAGATGTAGTTCTTCGTAACCATAAAAGTTTTGTTATGCAGGGAAACACATCTCACATTATTTTCCTTATTATAATATCTACTTAACATAAAGTATTTTAAAGTAATCTCAACAAACTTCTATGTTAGAGTGATATACAAGAATGTATCACCGTACTCCTACAACTACCTAATTCAACAAATGGAGATATCTAGCCAAATTTAAAAGTAGAAAGTGTAGTTTCAATTATCATGAAAGATATGCTCCATTCAAAATTGTAAGTAAAACATGGTCCTTGACATGAAAAAATAAAACGTTCCCAGTTAATTCATTAGTCTATAAGTATAGCACAAAAAAAAGGGAAGATAGGATACAAAACAATCTAGTCAAAGAGGAATAACACAATCAAGTGGTTAGCAAAACCAGAAAAGGTAATAAAAACTAAGGAAAAGTAGTACTTAAAAAAATACGAATTTACTAATTGTGTTGGACTGAAGATGTCAATGAAGGTCTGGTTTGACTTTACCGACATTAACCTATTCTTAACAAGATGTACGTAACTATTAAGAGGAAAATAGAATGTCGACGTTGCGCTTGCTTTAGTGTTGGAATGTAGCTTCTTTTGGAGGACCCTCCTTTGAGCTTAGCGGTCTACCATTTCTTATCTCAGAGAAATGTACAAAAGATTAAAGTCACGGAGAGTAAATCTAATGATATGAACTTGAATTTCAATAGGACAATCACAATCTAAGAGGAAAGAACACATAGACACCACGAGTGTAATACTAACTGGACTGAAAGAAGCAAAAAGCTGCATACCACAACTCAAAAGAACTCCAGCAGTAGCTAAACAAAAGAATCAACCAAGTAGCTGCCCAATGCCACTGAAATCATAAGATAAAATTAATATAACTCAAAGAGTTAAAGTAAATTGACTAAAATTGTGTATTATATAAAATAGGTATATCAAACTTTTCTAAACATTTTTGTACAAGTGCTTAGTTGTAAAAAACTTTTTTATCAGAATTTCACGTTTCACTGCCCTCAATACTTAAAACTATTCAAAATTTTAAACTTTCACTGCTTTTAATTGTTTATTCTTTTTCTAGTACTCTCTCATTTTCATTCATAGACCCCAAATCTTAGTATCAAACATTTTTTTTAAATAGTATATTTTCAATAAATCTCACCCTACTTGTATTGCTAATTAAAGGTCTCTAACCACAAAAGTCTATTTCCAAATAATTGGACTTGGTGCTAAAATAATTGCTAACTTTAGGTCATTCTTATGCCTTCAATGTAAGGAAATTGGGTTCATTTACATACAGAGCCAACAATAAATTTCACCTTCAATGTTACTCTCTGTTTGATTTAAGAACTTCAAATACAGAGACTAATAATCGAAATCACATGTTCAACCAACAAAAATCAAGTTTTGAACTAGTCTCAATTCATTTATGGTGTGTATAGATGAAAAAAGACATAGAACTTACCTGAAGACGGGGAAGACAAACGAGCAGCGGCAATCGATGGCAGCAAGTGCGATGCCAGCAGTGGACGCTCCAGGCAACCTTTGGATCTCTCTCGCATCTCAACTCTCAATCTCATTCTCTCTCGCTTCTCAACTCTCATCAATCTCTCGGCAGAACCTTTAATTAAAAACCCTAGACACCCCCAATAAACAAATACAATGTTTAAGTTATAAATTAATGAATGGTTCATATATTATAAGGAAAATGAATAAATATATTCATATTTCGAGTAAATATGCCCCTGAGTGATTTTGACAAATAATGTTTATTTAATTTTTTTATTCACAAATTTACATTTATCGAAGTAAAAATAATGGTGGTTTTTTAATTCCAAAAATATTACGTGACTTTAAAAAATTAACCTAATAATGTTTTACCGCTTCAAATTAAACACAATTGAAATAAAAAATAAATAAATCAATTCCTTACTATTTAGTCATAAAATTTATTTGGGTCAGATCTAAATAACAAAAGGATTAAGGTATTTTTAGTTGGATTAGGTTTGTATGGATTTGAAGGGTAAAAATTGAATGAGCTAAAAAAAATTAAGCCCCTTGACATTTTTGAAATTAAAATATCAGTTTTAGAAAATATTTTTGTTAATTAAGTTTGTTAACGAAAAAGGTAAGTCTGTATGTCTCATTAGTTAGACGACAAAGGTATATATGCATCACTTTTTTATTTGGTCAACTTTTTCCCTATATTATGTTTATCTAAAACATATTTTCAAAAATGATTTTATTATTTTTATAAGTTAAATACACAAATCAATATTTGGTCAACTTTATGATTTTTTGGGTTTTTATTCTATATCACTAATTATTTTAAATCTTTAATTATTATTGTGATAAATGAATTTATTTTCAATCAAGTAATCAAATATATCCATAAATAAGTTTATTTAGTACTCAAAGTGTTTTTCATTTAATAAATACGTATAATAACTTTATATATATAATAATAATTTTGTCTATTTAATTAGAGTTATATTTATTTAAATAATTCTATAAAATAATTATTAGAAGTTTTCAATATATTGGTATGATATTTATGTATATTTAAATAAGAAATTATTATTAATAAAATTTGAATTTAGAAAGTAGAAGAGAATTACTGGCGACATGAAATGTTGCCACAATAAATGGCGTTTTAGTGGCAACTACATCGCCACAAATAATCTTTTAGTAGCAACGGCTTATCAGTCGCCACTATAACTAATTTCATTAAAAAGTTTAGTGCATATTTGTGGCGACCTAAACATAGTCGCCACTGACTATATAATTTTCAGTAGCAATTTTAAGGCTCGCCCCTAAAGCTAGCGCCTTTTGTGGCAACCTTTACAAGTCGCTACAAAAGCTTCAACTTTTGCTGCAACTCTACGTGTCGCCACTAAAAGTCGTCACAATAAACCATATTTCTTGATCAATTTTACATATTTAATTGGTGAGTTCAAATTATTTAATAAGGTAAATTTAAAGGTAAATGTGTTAGAACAACAATAATATTGTGAACATACTCGGTGTATTTCTATAAATAGGATATTGTTAAGATGATGTCGTGTATGTTGACCTTCCAAGTTATACCTTTCATTATAAGGTACAGAGTCTAATTTTGATCGACTCTTAGCTCAAGAAAATATTAAGTATTAGTCAAGATTGTTTTGTAAATAATACTCCCTTTGTTTTAATTTTATAATTTTGTTATGTTTGATTTTGAATTGAGACACAATTTTTATTAAAAAAATAAATAAGACTTTAAATCTTATAGTTTTAAACTAAAAACATATAGAATATATCCAATATCATGTCCTTTTATCTTGTTGTCTTAAGTATTATCAAGCAATAACACAATTTTAAAAGTATTTTTGTTAAATAATCATGATTTTAATAATATGCATTAATATGAAAGAAAAAATATATATAAATAAGGACAAATTTGTCAAGTTATAATTGAATTATATTTATTTTAAATAGATTCAAAGAATGTTAAAAAAAAATAAAGAAGGTGTAATATCGTAAACCATATGAGAAGTGAATATTATACGACAAAACTTGAAAAAAGATCTCTGAAACTATCCTTTTAAAAAAGTTAATACGATAGATTAATAATGACAAAGTTCATCATTAATTTCATTTCTTTTAGTTGTTCACAGATCTCCCAAATTTGTAGTAAGCTACAACAACAACAACAACAACAGTAGTTTAATACACAAAATATATTATGTTCATATAAGATCTGAAAAAGAACCATATCATACGTTCGCTGTAAGCTTACGTTATATTAAACGTAAAACTTGAGGACAACTAATTAAATAGAATCATATACTAGTAGGCAACCAGTAAATATTTAATAATTGAATAAAATAACAAATAATGTCCAACGCAGAGCTTTATTCAAGGGTTGACAATGCGATAATTGGATAAGCTGCGACTCTCAAGACACAATTTTTGCATAGTTGGAAAGACTAATTACAGGTCTACCAAACTTTATTATGACTAATTTTATAATTAAAAATAATATTATATAACAACACGTAATATATTTATTAGGTTGATATCAAGCTGATAAAATGACAAAAACATCCTTTTTGCTTGAGTGTAAATTTAAAATGAGTGAACTTTCGCATATAGCCACTCAAAAATATTCTAATTACGCTTCATAGTTATAGTTTGCTAATTACAATTTGTAGCTACATGTTATAGGGAGGAGAGTGGCGAGCGAGACGAAGAGGGAGGAGAGAGGCGAGCGAGAGAGGGGAGAGAGGTGAATTGTATATGTATATCGGTTAGAAAATTGTATATTATACATATGTATTTGTATATTCTAGTCAGCAAGATTGGGAGAGGGAGGAGAGAGGCGAGTGAGAGAGGACAATAATTTGTATAATTCGCATCTTGTTTGTATAATTCACATGTTTTTGTATAATTGAGTAATATAATGTCTGAAATTATACAAATATGATAAAACTCGAAATAACGAATTGATACAAACATAAACATATGAACTTTAAACAATTATAAAAAAAATATATTATACAAATTACATTATATAAATTATATTATACAAAATCCAAATACTATACGTTTATACAAACTTTAAAAGTTATACACAAAAAGATTGAATATATATGATGACAAAACTGAAAAACCAAAGGAAATCATCGTCATATAAAATACAAACTACCGTATACAAATACAAATCAAACAAAGAATTGTTAGTTGTGAATTATACAAATGTGCGAATTATACATATATAAACGTAACTAATTATACAAACTCGAGGTCAGACCACGTAATTAATGGTTAATGTTAGTCGCGAGTGATAATTATAGCAAACTATAAATATGATGAATAATAAATAATATATATTTGCTTAACCGCGTAAGTTTTCCTAAAACTAACCCTATCATTAGTAACTCAAATAAATAAATAAATTAGTCAGACTAGTTGAATAATTCAACACAAATAGTAAATATCTATACCACTTCCGTGCCAAGTGTGAAAGTTAATTATTTTTTTCTTTCAGTCGCAATCTTTAGTAGTTAAAATTAGAGAAAATGGTCAAATGCCTCCATAACCTATATTCGGATTTCCAACTACATACTTCAATTTTATGGAGGTCCTATCACCCCCTTGAACTTTTTAAAATTGAAATTTCTATCTCCCTAAACGCTAACTTGGCAAAGTGAGTGTATTTCACTCTCTTTGAGAGAGTGAAGACGAAAAACAAATATTAAAATATTATTCTAATATATTTTTCATAAATATATGTATATTTATTTATTATTCCTTTTTTTCCTAATTGTTTTTATCTATTTTAATTTGTTTTCTTCTTCATAGCAACTTGATACAACATATATGGCAAGCATTAAATTTCATCACCATTTTGAAATCATCGCCAACACTACGTCAATCATACACCACAAATCGTATTAACAATTTCACCCACTAATTTCCACAATCAAGAATTATGTATCAAAAATATTTCAAATCAAAGCAAAATTAGGCTTGAATAAGGATACCCAATTGCTTTTCTTCGATAAACTTTGAATATTAAGAAACTATTTTATCCTATATTCAATACTCAACAGACCCATAGAAATTTTTCTCAACTGATTTTAATAACTGGTCATTTTTCTACAAATTTTAAAAAAATGTAACACCCGTTCTTCATCTTCTTCGGCATATTGCTCTGAAATTTGATATAAAATCACCTAAGTTCTTCTCAAAATCGCCCATAAATTCTGAATATAAACTTTTCTAGACATTTCGATTCCTTTGATATATTACCCACTCAAAATGAAGCTCGTTTGTGGCAAATCAAATTTCGAACTCAAGCTTTTAAACTATCTTTAATGGAGGTTTCAAGTTGGTGCTTCACATTTTAAACTATGAGCTTCAGTTTTCAGCCATACAGAACTCTTCCAGCCATCAACGAAAGCAACTCCCAAATCAAGAATATAGATCCAATAATTTCATATGGAAGCTCATCGATTTCCATGGAGTTTCGGCTATTCTTCAAATCTAAAAATCTTAGCCATGAACTTAGACAAATTCATCATGTTTAGCTTCAAATAATTACCAACCATCTATGTTATCAACAAGTTTCAAATTTGAAGATCCAAAATACATCCATAAATTTTGGCATTGTGACCTTTAACTAGACAATAAATCAGAAAGGAAAAAGAATAAAAAAAAGTTTTAAATAAAATTTTCACCTATCAGCGCGTGGGTTTCACCGGCCAGCATAAATGTGATTGTGACGTTTTAGGGGTGTAATAATATCAAACTTAAATAGTTCAAGAAGGTGATATGATCCCCGTAAAGTTAAAGTGTTTAGTTGGAAATCCGAATATAGGTTAGGGAGACATTTGACCATTTTCTCGTTAAAATTAATTAAAATATCATCTTAAACATGTTCCTTGACTAAATTATTTAGAATTAATTTAATTTTATTAATAATTAATCACAATTTTTGTAAGAACAATATTTAATTTATTCCACTTCTTTAATCTCTTTTCTTTTTCCTCTTTTTTGAACCTTTACATGCTCTTTTTATGATACTGCTTGGTAGGGGTGTACATGGCCGGGTTGGTTCGGGTTTTTCAAATATCAAACCAAACCATTTGTGTCGGATTTTTA